GCATAGACTTGATGGTGGAAAATGGGTGGAAGGGAAGGAAGTTACTTGTCTACAGGTACAGCCAAGCTGCACTTAAGGCATTGGCCGGTCCCCTCTCTAAAGACTTCCAAACTAGTTCGGAAATGCAAGTCTCGACTAAACTATGTTGGTAAAGATAACGAGCTTGCTTTACTCTGGGTGCCGAGCAACTCGGGAGTGCCTGGAAATGAGACATCTAACTCTATGGCCACAGTTGGCTTAGACCAGGCATTCCTCGATCCGCAACCAGTTATAGCACTAGGTGGGCAAAACTCATGTTGCCTTCAATCTCAGAAGGTCTATCTACTTTTTTGCTCCCACTGAGCAGACTAGACCGCAGACAACTTGTTGGATTGCTTACTGGTCACTTAACGTGGCACAAACACCTAATTGTGATAGGCGTAAATGACAACTCCATTTGCCCATCCTGATTTGAAGAGGATGAGACGGTGGAACACTTCTTGAGCTTCTTGCTTGATTGTTTGTTTATCATAGATTTATCTAGACTCGGTCTTTTCTTTTTTGTCAGTTTCTGAATTTGAAGTTTGGCGTAAAAAGCTTTGCAGTTTTATGTTTCAAGTTTTGTTTTTTTAAAATACGAGTGGCGAATATTTTTCGCATCTCTTTAAAACTCGGAGCGATAAAAATAAAAATGATGCCATCAACACAAATAAACTATTTGACAAATACATCACATGCAAATTCATGAGTGAGCCGAACATGTGATGAGTTTATTTAGTGCTTTTAAAAAATATAACTCCTCAGAGCGAGATAGTTCTTTCATCGCTTTACGTGCTCTGTTTTTGAAAACTTGCAATTATTTTACATTACACATTATTTTAATAAATAGAACACAAGAATATATTATATTTTTATTTTTGCCACTCCGAATTTAGTTTTGGAATTCACCCGCGATGCAAAATTACATCGTTAGATTTAATCTTAAAATTTTTGACGAGCTTTGGGAATGTGTTAGAAATGATCATCAGGGGATCCACCGAAACCAGTAAAATTTTGAAAGGGGTCTACGAGAAAAATAAGTTTGGGAACCTCTGACCTATACCCTTTTTTAAATTCTGATTAAAAAGTTTGAAATTTTGATGATATTTTTTTTTTGAAATTTTGTTGAATTTTCGCAAGTTTTGCACAAAATTTAAAGCTTTGATTTAGATGGTTTACTGTATACATTTATATAAAAAATACATTTTATATAAAAAATATAATAAAAATTATAAAGTAGAATAGACTTGAAAATATAAATATCTGAGTATTGTTTCTAATTGTTTGGCGGAGTACTGTATTGTTTTTCGTAATAAATTTTTTCGTTAAGTTTCAATAGAAATATAGTTCATTCTGCATCGAATTCAACAAATTTTCACCAAAATTTTCAACGTTTAAACAAAATTTTTTTGAGTATGCAATTCATGCATGCATAAATTCTGTTGAATTCAAGGTTTTGGTTCTTTAAATGGGAAACAACGAAAATGTCAAAAGCAAAGCAAGAAAGTTGAAACGACTCTTCCATATAAGCTATGATCCAGTACTCCATGAACTTACAGGATTTTACACGAACTTGCAGGAAGTTACACGAAAAATGTTCCCCTACTCCAAAATTCTCCAAAATCCTGTAAATGAGAGCGAATTTTGGAGAGTTGTGTAGAGAATGAAGTTGCAAGATTTTTCCCGAACTTTTTCTTCTGTTAAAATCATGAAAAGTGTCAAGCAATCACTGGTTGACGTTTTTACAGGAAAAATGTTTTTTTTTTGTTCCCCTACTTTTTGTTGTTACTCACTTTTTACTCTCACTTCAGAGAGTAATTTTGCTGTTTGACAGTTTTACAGGATTTTTCACGAAAAGTATTGGATCAGAGCTAAAGATAGGCCCTAACAGCGAACAAATCCATCTGATTTGTTCGCGCAGCATTTTTCTCCACTAATTGACTGATGCGATTGCAATGCCTCTCCCTGCAAAAAATTGTGCGACTAATCTCTAAAGAGAGTATTCCAAGATTATTCTTAATCGGGTACAATTGGGCATTAATTAGTCGCAACTAGTCTCATACGGGTACTAATGGAGGTCATTTAGTCTCGACTCATCCCTTATGGGTATAATTGGAGATCAATTAGTCCCCAACTCATCTCTAACGGGTACTATTAACGATTTAATGATATGTACGCACTTAGTCAATGAAATTTCATGTGCTGCGTTGGCACACAGAGAGAGTATTCGCCTAACAAAACTGAGTACCCCGGTTCGAATCTCAGCTGGCGCAAATTTTTATTTTTATTTTTTAAAGTGACTAGTCGCTTTTTGTACCCATTCGGGTATAGAGGGGAACAATTAGTTTATTCATAGGATATGCTCGAACAAAAGCGAACAGTTCATTCCATATAAAGAGATCAAAAGTGGTATTAGTCGCATGCTCCTTTGCGATTGCTTCCGGAGTCATCCCGGATTAGTCCCATTTTTTGCAGGGTTAACTTAGCTTTTTTATGTATGTGCTACTTAAATTTATTTATATTTTACTTGTATGTATGTACATACATATACATATAGTAATTTAGCCTCATTTATCAAAAATTCAATTAACGCACATGGCTTGAATACATTTATCCGCGATGTGCACACTGCAAGCATCAACACAAAATGAGGTTGTTGTTTTTGTTTCCAATACGATGCTCGCAAACCACGCTACAAACGACGAGCATGCTCGCTGAAAATCAAACTTTTTTGATTTTTTGCGAGCATGCTCGTGAACCGCCCTTCAAACGACGAACACGCACCGCAAGCCGCGCATGTGCACGCAGATGTTCGTCGTATGTAGCCAGTTTAATGTCGCACAAATCAGTAGTGGGATTCGCCATTCTATTTTAACGATTATCGAATCGTTAAGAAAACTTAACGACGATTTTGACGATTTGACAATTCGCTAAACATATTTTAACGATATTCGCTATCGCTTGATCAGCTGTTGTCGTTAACTACTCGATTACTCGTTAAGTAAACGACGAATATTTTGAAGTTGTTAGCGGCATCGACAAAAGAAAATTTGATATTTCATTTGAGTTAAAATAAAATAATATAGATCGCGAATTTACTTAAGTAATATATAAAAGAAAAACTTTTTGTTAAAAATGGCATTTGAGTATTTGGCATACGTTTTATCCCAAGATGAGGAGATAATAAGCTCTTCATCAGTGGATAGACGTTTGCTTCGAGAAGTGGACAACCCTTTCGACTTGGCTGCAACTGAGTTTCGTAACCTTTACCGATTAACCCCAGACTTGGTTGAAGATATTGTTTCCCAGCTTGATAGCCAATTAAGGGGTCGAAGAATAACTGCGATAACGACAGAGAAACAGGTAAATAATGTAATTTTCAAGTATTTTTCAATTTTAAATGATTTTGTAAATTTTAAAGGTTCTAACTGCCTTGCGATTCTTCGCAACTGGCTGTTATCAACGTCCAGTCGGAGAGCAATGGGGGATATCCATGAGCCAGTCGTCCGTAAGTCGCTGTATACATCGCGTAACGGATGCAATAAACCGCACCATGTTTTTGGCAAAGGTTAGGTTTCCAATGACCCAAATAGAGCGGCAAGCTGCAAAAGAAATTTTCGCCTCAGCATCCGCACCATTTGTAGGAGGTACTATTGGGGCTATCGATTGCACTCATGTGTCAATCATGAGCCCAAAGCATCATGAAGAAGCGTATGTCAACCACCATGGATACCATTCTATCAATGTGCAAATGGTAAGAGTAAAATTTGCTCAAGGGTTAAACTACTGAGTATTAATTTTATTTTATACAAATATAGATATGTGATCCAAATCTAAAGATTTTGGCTGTCAATGCTAAATACCCAGGAGCGCGACACGATTCATTTATTTGGAGCTCCTCTGCAGTCCGGAGAGTTATGCAGCGAAGTTTTGAAAATGGAAACCATAACGTGTTTTTGATTGGTAACTTTTTAAATCCACTGAAACTTATTTATTAAAATCAATTTAATTGAAAATGTCCAATATATATTTGCAGGTGACTCAGGATATCCTTTGGAGCCGTGGTTGATGACTCCTCTACCAAACCAACCAGAAGGGTGTCCTAAATTCCGCTACAATGAGGCATTGTGCAAAGCTCGAAACCCAGTCGAGAGACTTTTTGGCGTTCTCAAAGGAACTTGGCGATGCTTATCTCAGCAAAGGACTCTTTTGTATGATCCTGGATTTACTGGAAAAGTAGTAAATGCTTGCACAGTGTTGCATAACTTGCGATTGGGTGACCAAACATACGATCCCGAGACTGAGTTCCTAGAGCCAAGGACACATAGCAGTAATGTAAATCAAGACGCGCCGTCTTCAACAGCAAAACGCGTCCAAGACCGGCTAATTGCAAATTATTTTACATGAATAAAACGTTGATTAATAAAAATTCAGAAGGAGTACAATAAAATTATTTTGGCATTTTATGAAACATTTTTATGTACATAAATAAAAACTCAGTCTTATTTTGTCTTTAATTTGAGTAAATTTTTTTTAAGTCTAGAATTATATATATAAATATTCATTAAATATAGGGTCCATCAAAAGACAGATCTCAGTATGTAATCACAGATCAGTTTCTATAATATGATATGGTGTGGCACGTTCAAGTTACAGGCACATCACAAAATTAAAACAAAAATTCACAAAATTAAATTTCATTACTTATTGTATATAAGAAATATATGTGGTATATCTTACATGCAGTAAGTACAGTATACCTCTCTATCAACTAAATTTGTAAACATTGAATTCATTTGAAAATCAAAAGAACTTCAAATAACTCGCTTATTAAAAACAAATAAAGATCAATTCAAATATGTAAAAATTCATCTTCGAATATCTTTAAAAGTTATTCTAAATGTAAAAAGTTACCTTCATGATATGTCGAATTAAAACTTAACTCTAACATAAATACAAAAAAAAGGAACTTCATGCTCTATCAAATGAAAACTTAACTCTAACATAAATATAAAAACAAAAAAGAACTTCAACTTATATTTAAAACGCTTAAAACTAATATAAATATTAAAACAAAAAATACTTCAAAAACTACATATTTACACAATATTTACATGCGGTAGGTAGCGTTTCTTAAATTATTAAAGGCATCCGCAAATGCCTTTAAACCTTCCCCCATTGTGGTCATAGCTTCGGCCAACGATTTCGCTACCTGCACACTCGCCGTACTTGTTTCAGCTAACAACTGTTGAAAGGGCATACGAATGTAATACTATTTTTTAGTATATACAAAAAATTACCTTCAAAGCATCTGCTTGTCTACTTGCTATTTGTACATTCGCTGCACTCGACTCTGCTAGCATCTGTTGAAAAAGAACCGAAAAAACTATGTCATGATATTTTACTTATGTAAAGTTACAAATAAGTAAATTACTTTTAAGGCATTTGCTTGGGTCTGAGCGATTTCCAAAAACGATTTTTGGGCCTCGGTACCACCGTCCACACGCCTTCTTTTGGCTCCTCTACGTGGCGTTTTTCCTGCAGGAGTTACAGGAGTCGATGTGCACATCTCAATGCTCACTTCGTGAGAAATAGATGGCATCTCGATGATTACACTTCATCACTCTCTTCCATACGCAGTTGGAGTTCCTAATGATGAGAAGAATTGTTAACTGCTGTGCTATTCATAACTATTTATTTGCTTTTTACCTCTTCCACTGGCACACTTTCAGCAACAGTTTCATGGCCCTGCACATAGTCGCTACCGACAAGAGCAATCACACGCCTCTCAAGCTCAGTGGGTGGCTCTTCATTAATGGGATTGTTTCCCGTCATTGCCTGCTTTCGTTTCCTATCACGCACCTTAATGCTCTTCAAATCCCTCCATACCTATTTGCAAAACAAAATTTTAAACGTGGTATTAAATTACTAAACAACTTTTACATACTGTGCGCCATTGGTCGACGTTCTTCACCGAACCACCAAGGCTATTCAGCATTGACGCTAGTTCACTCCACTTCTTGTCGCAGTCCGATTTTCCATGAAGCTTCTGGAACCTTGATCCTGCCAATCCCGGCGTTTCCGTCAAAAAGTCCACCATGCGACTTAGTTGTTCTGCTGTGGTCCGGCTTCTCTTTTGAATATTGGGTACTGACGAAGCCATTCTATAATATGCGAAAATGGTTATGTCTAATAATACAAAATAAATTAACATTTTATTTTACTTACTTTTTGTAAAAGTATATTAAAATATTCAGAAATCTATGTGTATACCACTTTGCAAGCAAAGAATTTATTTGTTTTTCGTCATTCTTCTTTGTGCTTTTCGCATTTTTTGACGTTTCGTTAAGCTGTGATGCCACCTTTCTTGTATTGAAATAAAAAGAAAATGTCAGCTGTTTAGTGTCGTTAAAAAAGAGTTACCGAATAACACAATCGTTACTGCAAACCACAAAAATCGTTATATTAGACCTCGACAAATCGTATCGTTAAAAGTTAGTGAATTGCACTACAGATCACACTTGAACTTCGGCAAGTAAATACGAGCGAAGAGCGGATATGATGGGGTTGCGTGTTTGGTTATTTATGCGAAAAAAACATACAACGAAGAAAAGGTACGAGTGAATTGTTTTTAAATAGCAAAGTAAACAATATTATTATTTTGTAGATGACAAGAGAGGAGCAGGAGCATTCTTTGTCCTCCGTTTGCCCATTGTTAAAGATCAGTTAGTCCAGACTTAACTTAGTTCAACTTACCGTAAGAAATCATCAATGATTAGGCAACACATCAATTTAAGCCAGAAGCGGGAATATTTTGTTTTTATATATCTTCTTTTTCAGCTCTTTGACAGTTTGCCGCCTAAGATGCCACATCAAAAAAATTCAAGCAAACAAATATGTTTGCGGTCATTTATTTTTGAGAATTACAAAAACAAAAATCTGGCAAGCCTGATTCTCTCACCGCTCTCAATTTCTGTAAGGCCGTTAAGCTGAAATTAGTCAAGAACGTAAACCTACCGGTACGTAAACAATATTAAAAATGACCATAATTCAGAAAAATTACAAATAAATTTTCGTTCAGAATTTTCACCATGAAAATGGGAAAATTTTGGAAAACGCCTAGTGCCATCGCATGATTCAATAACACAAGGTTATGTAATTTTTGACAGCTCAAATTTGACACTCCTTTATCTGGATTTGTATTTTGGAAGTAGGAGAAAGGGGAAGAATGTGGTCGCCTTTTGCGAAAACGGTAGTAGAAAGGTACTAAAAAAGGGCGCAAAATATACAATTATAAGTAAAATATGTATTTATTAATTCTATGTGAATTTGCTATTTATTTGGCATTTTAATGGAAATACGAAACAATATGTGGAAATACGCATTTTTAATTTAAGTTATTCCTCATTTCCTGGAACAAATCTAGAATACCGACCGTTCAGCTATGCAAAAACAAAAATGCAGATCAATAGAACTTTTAACGCTCATTTCAACCATTCCAAAATTATTTGGCACAAGAAAAAAATAAAGACGTTTTGGAAGGTTAAAGTTACATTTTTTGATTTTTCAAATATTAATATCTTAGGAACTACAAAACCGATTACAAAACTAATGACGCCATCATAAAAATAATTAATTTATCTTTCAGCTGATGTACATAATTTATACGTTTTTTTTTATATTTTTAGACCAAAACCACTAAAAAACGTACAAATCTTGTTTTTCGTGAAATAACCATTTTTGAAAAACTGCATAATTAATGGTAAAGAAATTTACATTATTTAGGAAGCAGAAGTTATTATCTTTAATTCGATGTACATATTTCTTCATGATCTGCTTTTGTGTTCCAAGAATTTAGTGATAATAAAAAATATAAATAAACAAAGCAAATAAAACGCCAAATAAATTTGGTATCGTTGAAATCAGCGTAAAAAGTTCTTTCTATAGGCATTTGTGGTTACGGTCGCTATTCTAAACTTGTTCTAGCAAATTACGCAAACGAAGGTGATGCCAACGAATATTTAGTAAGAAGAATTTTTGGTTTTACTACTAATATAACTAGAAAATGTAGAGTCAGCAACATTCTGCACAAGTAAAGGAGCCGATTTTATGTGTGGGAGCGAGAATACTGTTTTATTACAAAACCTTTCTATTACTGAATCATGGTGTCATCGCATAGCCCGTACAAAAATCTATAGAAATCATAGTTTTCTTTCCTATTTTCTGCCTGCTTCGCAGCTAGTCGAAAAGTAGCTTGTTTTGCACCGCTCAGAGCGCTGGGACATTTGACTTGAATTGCCCCATTTATATAAACATATTTGAAAAGAAACCAAAATAATTTAAAAAGTAGTAGTTATGTAAAAAAAGGGGTATGTATGTACATATGTATAGCTTTATTTAGCTTTATTTGGGTACTTTTCAGTCCGATATTTGCATGGTGGTCACACGAGGGAAACAGAACATGGATAAGTATTCAAAATTTATTATTTGTATTTAAATGATAAATAGCAAATTCCTTTATGTAATAATGGAGCACTATTATATTAAAACGGCCAATAACCTTTAGAAAGTGCAATATGTAACCAATACCTCGATAGGTTACTACCTGGAGCATATTATGCTATTGGAACTTGTAACTAGTACGAAAGCGACAATTGAATGCGACACCGCTGCAGGGGATGTATAACAGGGTAAGAAACAGCCTAACAATGCGCAAGCGGAGTATAAACAATAGCAAAGGGTGCAATAACTGTGTACATCCAAAGCTAAATTCTTACAATAATCTATTATTGTTAACTAAAAAGAAACAATATTTAAAATCAGGCCTGCAAACCACTCCACTTCGGTTCAGTGGTTCGAACCACTTAGAAAAAACTTGTACCGGTATAAGAACCGGTTCATGAGTCTCCCTGAACCGCAGCTCGGTTCGGTTCAAATGTTTAAATTTTTTTATGCTAAAGGATACAAATATTGCAAAAATATTCTCTTCTTCTTCTTTTTTGGCGCTGTAACCGCCAAAGCGATTTTGGCCGAGTTCAGCAAAGCACGCCAGTCGTCTCTCCTCTGTGCCAACTGACGCCAATTGGAAACGCCAAGTGAAGCCAAGTCTTTCTCCACCTGATCTTTCCATCGCAGCGGGGGCCTCCCTCTTCCTTTCAGAGCTGGAGCGTCGGTGTCCATTCGAACGACATGACCAAGCCAGCGGAGCCGCTGTATTTTAATTCGCTGCACTATGTCCATATCGTTGTAAAGCTCATACAGCTCATCGTTCCATCGTCTGCGGTACTCGCCGTCGCCAACGCGTAAAGGACCGTAAATCTTCCGCAAAATCTTTCTCTCAAACACCCCAAGAGCCGCCTCATCGGATGTTGTCATTGTCCATGCTTCTGCGCCATATACCAGCACGGGCATGATGAGTGACTTATAGAGCGTGGTTTTCGTACGTCGAGAGAGGACTTTACTCCTGAATTGCCTACTCAGTCCAAAGTAGCACTTGTTGGCAAGAGTGATTCTACGTTGGATTTCAATGCTGAGATTATTATCGGTGTTAATGCTGGTTCCCAAGTAAACGAAATTCTCTACTTTCTCGAAATTGTAACTGTCAACAGTGACGTGGGTGCCAAGACGCGCATGTGCTGACTGTTTGTTTGATGACAGGAGATACTTCGTCTTGTCCTCGTTTACCACCAGACCCATGCGCTTTGCTTCCCTATCCAACTTGGAAAAGGCAGAACAGACTTCGCGGTTTTTGTTACCGATGATGTCGATGTCATCGGCATAAGCCAGCAATTGCACGCTCTTGTAGTAAATTGTTCCTGAGCGGTTCAGTTCTGCAGCTCTTATTATCTTCTCCAACATCAGATTAAAGAAGTCACATGAAAGGGAGTCGCCCTGTCTGAAACCCCGTTTTGTGGCGAACGGCTCGGAGAGGTCTTTTCCAGTTCTGACGGAGCTGGTGGTATTGCTCAACGTCATTTTACACAGCCGTATGAGTTTTGAGGGGATGCCAAATTCCGACATAGCGGCGTATAGGCAACTCCTTTTAGTGCTGTCAAAAGCGGCTTTAAAGTCGACAAATAGGTGGTGAGTGTCGATCCTTTTCTCGCGGGTCTTTTCCAAGATTTGGCGTATTGTGAATACCTGGTCTATGGTGGATTTGCCAGGTCTAAAGCCACACTGATAAGGCCCAATCAGTTCATTGACGGTGGGCTTCAGTCTTTCACACAATACGCTCGATAAGACCTTGTAACCTATGCTTAGAAGGCTGATCCCGCGGTAGTTGGCGCGAATGGCGGGGTCACCTTTCTTGTGGATTGGGCAGAGCACACTTAAATTCTAGTCGTCGGGCATGCGTTCATCTGACCATATTCTGCACAAGAGTTGATGCATGCACCTTATTAACTCCTCGCCGCCGTACTTGAATAGCTCAGCTGGCAGGCTGTCAGCTCCAGCGGATTTGTTGTTTTTCAGCCGCGTTATTGCTATACGTACCTCGTCATAGTCAGGCGGTGGAACGTCGACTCCGTCATCATCGACTGCGGGCTCGGGTTCTTCTTCTCCACAACTTTCCGTGCTGCTACCATTTAGTAGGACGGGAAAGTGTTCCCTCCATAATTTAAGTACGCTCTGGACATCAGTTACTAGGTCGCCATTATTGTTCTTACAGGAGTGCGCCCCGGTCTTTAAACCTTCCGTAAGTCGCCTAACTCTCTGGTAAAATTTTCGGCCATTCCTCCTGTCGGCCAGCATTTCAAGCTCTTCGCACTCACGTATTTCTGCCTCTCTCTTCTTATTGCGGCAAATACGTCGCTACCTTCTTCAGCTCCCTATAACGGTCCCACATGGCTCGCGTTGGGCCCGTTCGCAGCGTGGCCCTGTAGGCGGCATCTTTTTTCTCCGCAGCTTCCTGACACTCCTCATCGTACCAGTTGTTCTTTCGGGCTCGCTGAAATCCGACTACTTCTTCGGCGGCGGTACTTAATGAGCGGGAAATGTGGTTCCACTGCTCGCATATGTCGGTTTGTTGAAGAGTGCTCTCTGAGAGCAGGTGTGAGAGTCGAGTAGCGAAATCGCTGGCTGTCTGTTGTGATTGCAGCTTTTCGACGTTAAGCTTTCCTTGCATATTTGGGCGCACATTTTTTGCTGCACAGAGGAGGGTGCGTATCTTGGCTGCAACAAGATAGAGGTCCGAGTCGATGTTTGGGCCTCGGAGTGTGCGTACGTCTAAAACAATGGAAGCGTGCCTTCCGTCTATCACAACATGATCGATTTGGTTTCTCGTTTTTCGATCCGGAGACAGCCAGGTAGCTTGATGGATCTTTTTATGCTTGAACCTAGTACTGCATACTACCATGTTTCGGGCCCCGGCGAAGTCGATCAGCCTCAATCCGTTGTCGGACGTTTCGTCGTGGAGGCTGAATTTTCCGACGGTGGTTCCAAAGATCCCTTCTTTGCCCACCCTGGCATTGAAGTCGCCAAGCACGATTTTGATATCATGAAGGGGGCAGCGCTCGTACGTGCGCTCCAAGCGCTCATAGAAGAGATCCTTGGATGTCTCATCCTTCTCTTCCGTCGGGGCATGGGCGCAGATGAGCGAGATGTTGAAGAATCTCGCTTTGATGCGGATTGTGGCTAGACGCTCGTCCACCGGGGTGAACGACAGTACTCGGCGACGGAGTATCTCTCCCACCACAAATCCTACTCCGAATTTGCGCTCCTTTACATGGCAGCTGTAGTAGACGTCGCAAGGCCCCAGACATTGTTTGCCTTGCCCCGTCCAACGCATTTCTTGGATGGCGGTGATGCCAGCTTTTGTCCTTACGAGGACATCAACCAGCCAGGCAGAGGCACCTTCCCCATCAAAGGTCCGGACATTCCAGGTGCATGCCCTCAAATCGTAGTCCTTTAAACATTTGCCGTGGTCGTCATCATAAGGGGGGGTCTCATCCGAGGCTTTGCCTTGCTTCTTCACTGGAAGTGGTTTTTACGTGGCGGGTCCCAAGCCCAGCGCACAACCCATTGCTGGGACAAAAAATATTACAAATCTATAATATATAAATAAAAGTCTTTGTTACTGAGATCGGATTCAAATATCTGCATGTATTCTTCTTTTTCTTCTTTACTGGGGCTGTAACCGCCTAAGCGATTTTGGCCGAGTCCAAAACAGCACGCCAGTCATTTCTCTTCTGTGCTAACTGACGCCAATTGGAAATGCCAAGTGAAGCCAAGTCCTTCTCAACCTGATTTTTCCAAAGCAGAGGAGGCCAGGAGGCAGCGGCCCGCGCTGAATATTTTCAGAGCAGGAGCGTTTCTGTCCATTCGAACGACATGGCCAAGTCAGCGGAGCCGCAGAATTTTAATTCGCTGAACTATGTCTATATCGTTGTAAAGCTAATACAGCTCATCGTTAAATCGTCTGCGATATTCGCCATCACCAACGCGTAAAGGTCCGTAAATCTTTCGCAGAATCTAGCTCTCGCAAACTCCAAGAGCCGCCTCATCAGGTGCTTTGCCTCCGCGCCATACACCAGCACAGACATGATGAGTGACTTATAGAGTGTGTATAGCTCGTTATATAACGACATCCATATAAATCCAACTTTAAAACTATTCGAAAAAATATAAAAATTTTAACAAAATTGCCTCAAAGTAAACAATTTTTTTATCAGAACTCTAAAAATCGAAGTATGCAGTTTTATATAGCTCATTCAATTTTAGTGTAATGTGTTAAGTTCAAGTTTGAGTTACTTATTTTAAAATTCGTATTGATTTTTGGATATTTTATTTTGCCATTTCCTGGTACCAACGGCTTTTGTTCATTCAAATAAGGGGAAAAATAGAAACCACAACCCTGCTGTTTAGTTTCTCGCTATTGCGCTGCCACTTTTTGAAAACGCTGCATTTCATGAATTCCCAATTATGCATAAACGGAACCATTTTTGAATTTATGAAATGAAGAATTCATGAATTCTGTTGTATTATTATATGTTTACGCGTAGGTTAATTCACGAATCCATTTCATGAATTTCATGAAAACGTGAAGTGCAAGTCCGTCAACGCCACGTTTCACAAACAGTTGTTTACTAGGGTTATGATGTTTTTCGAAGCACTTTATTTCATGAATTCGCGAACTATGTCTAAACGGGATCATTTTTGAATTCATAAAATGAAGATTTCATGAATTCTATCGCATAAACTTAGTAGTAGTAATACAGAGAGAAGCAAGGGCAGCGTCACCGTCATGCGGTGCTGAGTTTTCGTTAACATGTAAATCCCATAAGGTAGATCGTGTCAGCTGACACGTTCGCCGATTTTACGTCGGTGACTTACTGCGCTCTAAGAAATGTGATTCAAGTTGAACATTTAAAGCACATTTACATGACTTGCTGTAGCTAAATGTGCAGAAATGTTGTTTGTTGGCTTCCAGCAAGTTCGGGTTCGAATGCCGTTAGAGTCGACAGGTGATTATTTTTTGTTTTTTGCTTTTCCTAATTGCGAAAAAGCATCTGCGAAGTGCAGAACCAAATCAAACGACGAAAAAATCGCATTCAGGTTCAACATTTGAGGATAAATTTACAGAACGACTGTAGCTGAGTGTGTAGAGATGCTTGCTGTGATTTGCTAACTTTCAGATGATGCGGGTTCAAATCTCGCCAGAGGCAACGAGTTAAAATGATAATAAAAATTTTTTGTTTCGTATCTCCGAACTATGAAAAAGCATCTGCGAAATACAGAACATAAGCGTATTCAAACGAATAAATCTGCAAACAAAAATTTGTTTAATGTTAACAAAAGTGTGGTTAATATTACCAGATCATTGTTGAATGTGTATATCAACCATGATATTGTTAATATCAAACAAAAATCACCTTGATTAAATATCAAGTTTGAATTTGGTAATATTAATTAATTTTTGGTTGATTTTTGTGTGAGTGTATACACATAAATAGTTTTGTTTTGTGGTTTTGAACTTTACAGTACCAAAAACTTTACATTGCATCCAGTAAAAATGTTTTCGTTTCCGACAAAAACCAATCGGTTGGAATCTTTTGCTGACCAAGGCAGAAATTACTTACCAACAGTAGAATTTTCTCCATTTTAGTAATATTAATTTTTATATCAATTTATTTTTATTGCATTTCATGTAATTTTTTGAGTAATTTGCTGGGAGTGGGATTTAAACCCATGACCATAAGGAACAAAATTTTGTTGCGGCTCTGCTGCCGGATTCCAACATTCACTATCTCTAATGTTGATCGCTAAATATCTCCAAAAGAATAGCAGGCGCGCATAGCAACATGCAACATCTAGTTAACTGTTCTTCATAATGCTAAATTTGGCTGTACTTTTACAAACCCTGTTTTTTTTTAAAGAATTGTGGCGACGAAACATTAGCGTAGCGATTGTCAAAATTCTACTGCTGAATTAAGATTACCGCCTGTCTATGCTTTTATCGCAATTGTAGATAATTTCCCGCAGGGCATTGATTCCTTTTCATATCAGTCGTTATTATCAGCTTATTGATGTGTAGAATGCAAAGTACTAGCGTCTTAGTTTTAAGTATGAGTTTTAAGAAGATCCAGCTTAGTCTTTAACTCAGCGCTTTATTTAGTTCAATTTCCGTAGTCTTACACGCGAAAATGTTTACAATGAACAAGTTGAAACAAATTTCCTTTACCTGCGGAAAATTTCAAAACTGTTTGCGTTCATTTTCGGATGTAAACAATGCTGTGAATGCAAGGCACACTGCACTCTACGACTTCCACTTGAAGCACGGTGGAAAAATGGTGAATTACGGAGGTTATCTGCTGCCTGTACAATACGTTGACCAGGGCATAAGAGCGTCACATCTGCGCACGCGGCGCCAGGGCTCTGTTTTCGATGTTTCACATATGCTGCAGACGTATGTGCGCGGAAAATGTGCTATTTCGTGCATGGAATCGCTTTGCACTGCTGACATACAAGGAATGCCTGATGGCACCAGCTCGCTTACAGTATTCACTAATAGCAACGGTGGTATATTTGATGACTTAATTGTGTCTAAAGTGAATGGACATACGCTGTATGTTGTCTCGAATGCTGAAATGAAAACGCAAGACATGGTCATCATGCAGGATGCTGTGGTAAGTAAAGTGGAACTGCAAATCTCCTAAGAGAATACAGAACACCTCGGATTTTAGTAACGCGTCAGCGGTGGGGACTCACCATTCTTATACGAATAGATTTCACTTTTGAAATAAAATGTTGAATATCTCCCGCTGATAAAGTGGGTGAGCGCAATAAGTTTTTAACCTTTTTTAACGATGGGTTAAGGTTTGCCCTTCTTAGCTACAAATTCAATCATTTTAGAAGTACATAATTTTATGGAAAAATTTACTTCAAATATAATTATTGTTTTTGGAAACGCATGGTAAAATGAAGCGAGCTATTCTTTCGTCTAACATTTTAATCCCTTAACTCTTCCCACTGTGTGCCTTTTTTATATTTTAGGACAGATTCAAAGCACAAGGAAAGGATGTTAATCTCGAGTTTTTACCGACAAGTGATCAATCTCTCATTGCCGTGCAAGGACCTGAAGCAGTCTCGACACTTGAGAAGCTGCTTCCAAAGTCATACAATTTGGATAAACTTTATTTTATGCACACGTCCCTCGGAGAGGTAGCTGGGGTAGCAAATTGTCGAATAACACGTTGTGGGTATACCGGTGAGGATGGTGTAGAGGTGTCAGTGCCGTCAACTCGTGTGCAACATGTAACCGAAGCGCTCTTAGATGCAAATCGCAGCCTCAAGTTAGCTGGCTTGGGTGCGCGAGACTCCCTGCGACTCGAAGCAGGCCTCTGCCTGTACGGCAGTGACATAAACGCTGAAACTACGCCTGTTGAAGCAGGTCTTGCATGGTTGGTTGGTGAGTTTATGATATGGAAACTTGAATGTATTACTATACTACATAGTTATTATACTAAAATATATTATCTAATTGCATGTAAGCCCGTAGACGCCGCAACGAGGCGAACTTTCCTGGCGCTAGTCATATTTTGACGCAGTTGCAGCCGGGCACAAAGCAGATCAAGAAACGTCGCATCGGCTTAGTCATGAATGGACAGAAACAAATTCCACCGGCGCGTGCTGGCGTACAGATCTATGCGAAAGACAGAAATGTCGGGTACATAACGAGCGGCTGTCCAAGCCCTAGCCTTGGTAAAAATGTCGCAATGGGCTACATTTCCGAAGACTTAAAAAAACCGGGCACTTTGGTGCAGCTCAAAATTCGAGATACGCTGTACGAAGCTACTATTGTTCGCATGCCCTTCGTAAATAGCAATTACTACATAAACCCAAATAAATAAAAAATAGTAGAAAACCTATTCTCATATGTAGTTACACAGCAAAAAAAAAATTTACTGTTTTATAAAATATTTGTTTTTAAATAAAAAGGAAAACTTTTCACTTCACTTTTTTATAAGAAGCATTCTCGAAACAAAGCATTGTCAATATCACTTACTTCCTACATCAAAATATGGATTTCCATAAAAAGTGGACTTAGCAACTTTCCACTCTCAGCTACACTCAGAAAAAACATTCCTTCGGCTTAGTCATGAATGGACAGAAACAAATTCCACCGGCGCGTGCTGGCGTACAGATCCATGCGAAAGATAGAAAAGTCGGGTACATAACGAGCGGCTGTCCAAACCCTAGCTTTGGTAAAAATGTCGCAATGGGCTACATTTCCGAAGACTTGAAAAAACCGGGCAATTCTCATATGTAGTTACACAGCAAAAAAAAAATATTTACTGTTTTATAAAATATTTGTTTTTAAATAAAAAGGAAAACTTTTCACTTCACTTTTTTATAAGAAGCATTCTCGAAACGATGCGTTGTCAATATCACTTACTTCCTACACAAAATATGGGTTTCCATAAAAAGTGGACTTAGCAACTTTTTACTCTCAGCTACACTCAGAAAAAACACTCCTTGATGATAGGAGAAAATATTTTATTCTAAGGAAATATTACCTTGAAATGGCTCCACAGACATGGCTGTCTTAATATGAGTAAACGATTTGACTCAGTTTAAGGAAAATATAAATCATTCGTTTCAGGACTATTTTCTATCTTCTTAGGAAAAATTATTTCAACCCCCTTGAAAGGAATAAGTATGTTATTTTGCTCGCGGTGCTCAAACAGTCGCAATGGCCGAATGCGTCGAGAGACTCAAGGTTCGGGTCCCAGAGCAGGAAATATATTTTTTAATACTTTTATTTATTTTTTATTTTTATTATAATTTTATAAATTGTATTTAAAAAAATGTATCTCATTTATTTTTTATGGTATTTGAGTATTTAGGTTTTTCCATATGAAATTAATTTTACAATTTGTGATTTATATTTGAATTGAAATAATTGACTTGACGTACTTAACTTTAACCACCTCCAAGCGGACTCGAAACTGCGAACTCAGAATCAGATTTTACAATTTGTAACTTAAAGTTAATATTTAAATCGACTATTGACTTACCTTATCTAACCACCTCCAAGCGGACTCGAACCTGCGATCTCAGAACCAGAAGCAGTAGTCTTGACGCGACGCCGCAGGCGCCATTTGCCAGGAAAGCAATTAACTTTGTCTTGCACTGACAAAATTAAAAATTATTTAAGGAAATCATTAGGTACTTACATATGTTGAGTAAATTTACTTATTAAAATTAATGACGCACTGTTTTGAGCACGAACCTGAATTAAGGAAAAACTTCTCAAATTGACTAAATTTTTCGTAATATTAAGGAAAAAACAGTAACTCTAAAAAAAGAAAACTGGTTTCTGTGGTGCCGTGCGGATATATATAATATGTATTAAAGGTCTGCATCGGAGTTCAGTTTGCTTCACTGTGAAGTTTTTTTCAAACAAAGAGGGCATGGAAGGAAGAGAAGTGAAGATGTTGAGCGCTGTATACATAAAAAAAGCACTCAAACAAATTATGTTCCGAAAAAAAGACGAACATAAAACAGCAGTACCATGCTGTTAAACTCATGAATAAGGTCAATTGACTTTATTTCCCACCCTGGTGCGAAATAAAGTCAATTCACATTATTTCCTTTTTAAAAACGAAATAAAATCCATTGACATTATTTCTCTTTCAAACATTATATTTGCTTAGCTCCGCGGCGGCCCGCGTTAGCGCGCCACACCGCGCTCGCGCCGGCGCGCACACCACGTCACGCTACGCCGCGGCCCCCCCTTCCTCGTCTTCCGCCGTGCTGTAACGCAGGTAGATTTATTTTTTGTATACGTTGAAATAAAATTTTTATATATTTTAAACATCGAGGGCTTATATTCAATAAAATACCCTCTGTCTACACACTTTTCACAAAGATGAGATTCTGATATAAAAATCCACCTAAGCTTTAACTGTCATCAGTGATATTAATGCTACCTTATATAACGACAGGTAATAAGTCCCAGATGGTTTCTAAAATCACAAATTAGTTTTTGTGCAAATTGCAGATAGAGGGTATTAATGAATTCAAGCCTGGATATTTCACATTTTTATATTTGTAAGTTATTAGAAGCAGGGATGCCAACTTGGCCCAAACCGTGCCATTTGTTCCTATTTTACTTCAAATGGCACTTAATTTTCAATTTGGTACAAAGTGCCAAAATGGCACTTTTGTAAAAAAAAAAAATTTCAATACATTTTTGTGAAATCCTATGCGTGCACTTCTTTTTCGCAACTAAAATTTTCCAATTAATAAAGGCTATTCAACTGGTTTATCTTATGTTATCATTGCACTTTTGTTTGGAAAATGTAGCTTTATTTTATTGCTAAATGTGAATGATTAAAATGAATGACACCTTTTTTGGCACTTTTATTTTTCTATTTGGCACATTTTGGCACTTTTTTATCTTCAATATGGCACAGTGTTGCCAAATATGGACTTTTCCTACCAAAACTGGTAGGTTTTTTTTCCATTTGGTAGGTTGGTAGGCTTGATTGGATTTTGGTAGGTTTCGGGACAATGAGTAATAGTTATTTGCGAAAAATAGAAAATATGTACATACGTATCTCCAAATATTTTAGCAGCCTTTTTTACACAAATATTTCACCGGTGCTTTCGTATAATGGCGGCCACAAACATGTAAATATACCTGATTGCTAAGGACAAACGTATACCTTATTATTGCCAATATGCAATACGGACATCCATATATCGTGACCTAAGGGTGAAAAGGTGCCAAGTCCATTTTTAGAAATTTTTCACGAGAGACGAAAAATCGATGTAGTTTCGTATTACCTGTCATTCTGCTAAACTAACTTTGAAGAAAAAAATGGAGTTGGCATCTTTTCACCTTTAGGTAGCGATATAATTTATGGCGTACTTGGACCAAGAGTCAAGAAAAGTTTGCCAATGGGCTCGTACGCAACCATATTTCAGGCGGAAGTCTTTCCAATCGAAGTCTGTACTCGCGAATGTCATCGTAGAAGGCAAATGAGAGCAGAGTAAATATTATGTCGGGAATTCAGGCAGCGTTAAAGGCCTTAGAGTCTTTTAAAACGGCATCAAGGCTTGTAAACTCTTGAGCCACTTGCGAGCCCACAATATCGTCACGCATGAAGGGTTTGAAGGCACGAAAGGGCTGACTGTCCCGCAAAGCGTGAAGCCCAAATGAGTTTGCATGGTCCCTAGCCTTTCTGTGGTACATCTAAAGGATACACTGCAGACCTACTTAGGAGCTAGCTGGGAATAATCTCAAATTGCTGCCTACTGGCGGAAGTCAAAGGGAATAAAACAATCAAAGATATGCATAACTCTTTCCAGAAGGAACTCCAAAAGCCACCTTGAACTTAGAACTCTTACTGGCAACCTGACAGCACACTGCAAGTTAACGTACGGTTTTAATTAAATGGGTATTTCTGTAGAGACGGACTGTAGGGTTTGTCGGCTGGTGAAAGAAGCCCCAGAGTATATTCTATGTGCATGTCCACGAATCATGAATCGTAGATTGATACACCTTGGAGAACGATTGCCTTCTCCATATAAAATTTGGAACATGGCCTCATCCAAAGTGCTGAGCTTTTTAAATGGCCTAAGGTTGGAGTGGTTGCAATCTTGATTTAGCACAATATATCTTCTTAGGCCGCAGCGCGGGTATCTTCGACGTAATAATAATAATATCGTCACTAGCCACAAATAAAGAGCTCGGAAAAACTCTTTGGGGAGTTCTGGGGAATACTGTTGCACTCGAAAATATAGTTGACCACGGACATAAGTTTATGAGTCTTTCTTTGTTTTTATTAATCTAATTGTGTTTTAGTTTTACCTGTTTATGTTAACTAAGTTTTTAAAAAATTTGACATTGAAAACAAATATCAAAACTCAAAAAAATGTTTGGTAGGTTTTGGTTGGTTATGGTAGGAAATTTTGGTAGGCAAAAAAATTTGTCTGTGGCAACGCTGATATGGCACCTCATAACTAAGGATAGTTGCCAGCCCTGATTGGAAGATTTTTGCTGTGGTTTGGGGCAACAATTTGTCTGCAGTAAAAAAGCATATAATTTTTGTTTCAAAAGTGTGTGAAAACCAATCAATTAACTAATATAATCCCGATATTAAATAATCAATAATTGTTTATACCCGCATTTTGGCACATTGGCTCGTTGAATGTGCCATCTAATAAATAGTGTCGTCATTCTCCTTAGCTGCTTTTAAATGATATCGTCACAAATTGCTGGCGGAGACATGAATACAGTGTAAGAAAATTCTTTTTCTATAATTGTTTCCTTATAGAAAGGTTGGTTTCTTTTCCAACTTGGACATTCCGAATTCGTTCAAAATATGCTAATTTAAAACACAGAATTCTTTCAGTGTTCCTCCGGGGTTTTTGGACATGGACTGTTTCATCAATTTAATAGTGTTCGCTTTATTTTTGTGGAAACGAAACATGTTTTGCAAGTTATGGATCATTTCTACACTCTTTCTTCAAATATTTCTCGTATTCCAGCTGTGCGCAGGCGTTTAGTTTTTCGCATCGTGTTCTTACATATTCGTAATTTAAATTTTTTTAATAAAATCAATTGGTGGTAGTTCATGATTGTGTGTGGATTAGTATCACAACACTGGCAATAACCTTTTTGATCTATTAAAAATAACACTTACGTGGCAATGTTTATTGTAAGAACAACATTTTTTTCTATGAATCGACATACTTTAAGCATTGTTGACGCTATTTCCATGTGAATGAGGAAATAGCGTCAATGACTTTATTTCCAGGGTGGGAAATAAAGTCAATTTACCTTATTTCCATTGACCTTATTACCTGTCACCGAATATTTAGCCAACAGCATCTATGTATACAGGGTGTCCTAGAAGTAACGTGCCAAACTTTAGGGCAAGGTAGGTGGGGGGGTGAGCTCACTGATAAACAAAAAATTTTCAGGTAAAAGTGTCACCGTTTTTGA